GATTTACCCCAAAAGTTTCAGACCAAAGTGAAGTTTTAAAAATTTTCAATTCTGTCATTTATGTTTCCAAAAAAAACATCTTCCCAGCCGCCGCACGTCTTCATTTAACTGTGATTTTTTCCAGCAAAAAACCAGGAGAAAAGAAACATAAATTATTATTCAATTAAGGGTGCAATGTGAATGATTTATTGTATTACTAAGGGAACACAGTGCTATTATTGTTTTTCAAGGGTGCAAAGTGCCAAAAGCCTCCATTTGAAGGGTGCAAAATGGGATTAAGCCAAATTAATTTATAACTTAGATAACCCAAAATTGTGAAAAAACTAAAGTGTTAATAAACGAGTGCCGTAAATAGATTTAAAAAAACATAACATTAAACATTAAGCACAGAGAACAAACAATAGTTTGATTTTTCTTTTTCAATTGACATGAAGTATATTAGCAATCACAATCCTTGTATAATCTCGAATTGCCGAAAAAACCCTTATGTTAAAAATATTGGCAAAGTCCCCTGTATGAAAATTAGTCGCTACACTCCGTATATGCGAGTGGGGTTGGATTTTTTGACCTAAAAAGACGTAAATACCCTTTAATTAGAAATTTTTAAAATTACAGATTCACCCCAAAAGTTTCAGACCAAAGTGAAGTTTTCAAAATTTTCAATTCAGTCCTTTATATTTCCAAAAAAGCCATCTTCCCAGCCCCACATCTTCATTTCATTGCGACTTTTTCGAGCAAAAAAACAGAAATAATTAAACCCCTTCCCTTTCACTTTTTATGATTCTCCACAATCCGGTTTCCCAATCTCTCTTATTCAATGTTTGAGATTCGTGCCACCCAATTGATGGAGATTTCCGAGTATTGGCCTCTTAGTATGAAAAAGGTTGGTGGGCCCACCCCGTTGAAGATGGTGAGCGCGTGAGGTCTTTTCTTCAGTCAGAAATTGACCCAATGTAGATGGCCAGGTGTCGGCACCGACACACACTCGATCGGAAAGAAGACCAGTTCGGGCACGGTGGATGGCGGTCAGCGGTGGGCCCGGGCTGGAGTCGGACGGTGTAGATCGACACCGACCAGAGATTTAGTCGGTGAGGATACCTATGTATCAATACCTAGACACGGCCACGGGCCGGTTCGGGCCGGTTCATACCTGTTCACGGTTCACTTTGTCCTGAATCGGAACCGGCCCGTAATATGCACGGTTCAACGGGCCGGGTCAGCCCGCCGGTTCGGGCCGGTTCCGGGTCGGCCCGGAAAATTTGATTTTTTATTTTTTTTTGAAATATTTGATGAATAGAAAAATTGGGGTGTGAGGGTCTTTATAGGCCCC